CCAAGCCTGTGGAAATGGCCATGGATGAGTCGGTTCTTTAACATCCCATGAGAATCCAGGCATCTTTTTTATCAAAAGAATTCTTGAATATTGATTTGTTTTCTCAATTTACTGGCTAATTTGTTGGCATTTCATAGAGTAGTTTTCATTAGGATTTGAGCTTGTGTTGTTTTTGGTGATGTCTTCAGTCATTTCCATTTGGAAAATATATTTTCTTTTCTTTCTTACAATTTGTTAATTTTCTTGTATGGCCACTTTTTTCATCTATGGTCATTGATACTGTTTTGTCCTTTTTTGCTCATATGTTTAGCTAATCATATTGTTGCATCATATCTATTTTCTACAAATTGTCTTTGTAGTAGCTCACATGGACTAGATTTATGTGACTGCAAGTTCATATAATTGTTCTTATTGTTTTTGTGTTATTATTATTATTGGTTTGGATCAATCCTCATTTTCAATTGGTTCAAAACTGGAATGGACTCATTTCTTGTTGATTTGCTTGGGCTTGAATTTTTGCATCTCTTCAATTCTTGTAACGCTACACAGAACGCATCTTTGATATTAATTCTTTTACTGGCTAAAGCTAAAGGACATTACCACAAACTAAGTGCTTATTCTCTATATTAATTTATCTTTTGGTTTTTTTACCCCCAGATTTGAGCAAGACAAGGAGCTAGAGCAAGTAGCTGTGTCTGAAGTTGTGGGCTCTGGCCCTTCTGAAGAATGTGTTACAGATAGTATGTGATCCAACCTGTGCAGTTATTAGAATTTGTTTGTTTTGTTTTTTTAAGTATTGGATGGATGAAACGAAGTTGAAAGAAATAGTACTGTGGAATCAAGCTTATTGTAGTTACTTTTTCTCGTGTTGTGCTGATGGAGAGACATATGTGACGGGAATTGCCATGTCAAAAGTAAGCTTAATTACTCCCATTTTTCACCTTTTAAAATTTTACTGCCTTTAAATCCATATTTATTTACGCAGAATATGTTGAATCAAGCTTATTGTTACCGAGTGTTTGGATTTTGCAAGTCATCCAGTTGAATTCCTGTGATATCTTACATGACTCTAGATTGCAGTTCAGTCTCCTACGTTTTTCTAACACATGCTTGTACAATTTGAAGTATTATGCATTTTTATTTCAACTACATAAATCCATGTCAAAGCCATTAAGAAATCTCGCGAATTTTTCTGATACTGTTGTGGGTAAATTCTTTTTGAAAGTAATAGTTTATCCTCAGAAAGATTTGAATTATGGAATCTTCATAATTTAGTTTTTTATTCATCTTTATATACTTGTTTTAGAGGCGGTTCTTTTTCTGATAGTTTGATACACAATAAATGTGGCAAAAAAAGGAACCATAGTTACTTGATTGTAGCTTTGTGCAATTAGTGAGAATTCCTTAGTCTATTGCATTTTATAATTTTGAGCTTGAAGCGAACAAATGTTTTTAAAATGGAAAAAGTCAATAATATGATCGAATTAAGGGACCACAATGAATAGTAAGTGGATGTTGATCTAACTTCTTGGTTTCAACAAGTTGACCTTTACTCATATGTAAGTAGATGTTCTGGTTTTTGGTCATCTGTTTAAATGATCGATGCTTAATACTTTTTTGTTTTAAACTTTCAGGCTACTCAAAAGAAAATTGTGAAAGCTGATGCTTATGTTACAGGTTTGTTGTTGGCTTTCCTTTCATCTATTGATACTCTCACTATTTACGTCCTTACTAAATACTAAACTACTCCATTTGGTGGCAGCATGTGATGTCCCTGGAATTAAAAGATTAGTTCCACGCACATGAAGGGAGTGGGAATTCTTTGATAATATTTATGAACTAGTTGGTGTGCTTGTGGTCACAGTGCAACTCAGATACAACGGCTGGGCCACAGAGTTACAGGATTTAGAACGTTCAAGGTGATCCTCTCATGTATTGAAGTTATTGGTTTGTGAAAGTGGATTCCTTTGGGATCTAGGAATAAAATACACTTTACTTATCATGACTACAGAAAATAAATTACTCTTTGCATGTATTTTTAAGTAAATTTTGCACTTTCTAAATGTTAGGCAAGTAAGGCAAGCTGCAGGGTTGGATAATCTCCTTTATAGCCCAGATGCAGATTTCTCATGCTTTGCAGATCTTGCACTCGCATCACCTGAAGACTGTTACCTCGAGGGACAAGGCTCATTGCTCCAGCAAGGAAAATTCTCTTCGTTTTGTTTTATGATATTATTGTTGTCATTATTATTAATTGTTGTTATTTCTGTAGAGAAAGATAATGCCGATTCACCACAAGATACATCTGCTGAATGAAATAGTTGAATAGCCTTTTATTTGTCTGTAATTCAAAACCAGAATTTTTACGACCATCCTATTTCTGTCTCTCTTTATATACAATATATATTGGCCTCTCTTGCTCATGACAGTATTATCCTTAAGTTACTAGATCATTCATGATGAAGATTTCATTTGCTAGGACTGCATGCAACTAGCACATGGCACGTGTGATCAATTCTTGAAGTTGATTTATTCCCTTGAGCAATTGTGTTTAATCAGAAAAATGAGCTTATAGAAATGCAAACTGTTGTTAGGAAATGGGACTTCATGTTTTCTTTGGTTGTTACAATAATCTTTTTCGATTGATGAAAAAGGTGAAGACCACATGCTTGTTTTCATGAAGTTATTTATTGATATTTTAGATTTTAATGTTAATTTCATTTCTTGTATTCTTTATGGCCCATAGCTTTTAAGCTGCAAATAAAGAATATTTTTCATGATCATAAAGCATGATATATGAAACAAGGACCATCCATATTCTAGAATATTTGATCCATTGATCTTTTATGGTAATAACTGATATAACAGTGCCTTTTAGGATGCTTGTAGGATCAAATATCTGTGTCCTAATAATTTAGCTATGGTACAAAATGTTTCGGGTTTTTGTGCTTTTGATTGTTGTATGACATCTGCTTATGATAATGAGCAAGGAGCTCAATCTTATCTGTTGGTAAGAAATATTCATTGTTGTAGTTGCTTTACAGATCATAAGATATTGAAATGATGGGTGAATTATCGCTGAAATCTAGAGGATTAATTAGCCTAGGATGCCAAGAAGCTTCTATACTGATGTACTTGTGCCAATGATGTATTGCTCATACATATTCATGGCCTACTAATGCCTTCAATGAACTCCCAATGTGCCTACACAATTATGAGCTTGCTTTTGAATATAGAATGGAAGAATATGGTTCTGTATTTGGTTAGTTCCTCTCATGGCTTGAGTTTGGACTTCATAGCTTTTAGATAGACCCTTTTGTATGCAGTTTAGTGTATCTGTTATTGGCAGGACTGCCCAGAAAGAATAAACTCAGGCATGTACTTAACTTGTTAGTTCCTTAACTCTGCTAATTGACTAGGGTGGGCAAAACTTGGACCCCTTATTTATTTCCAATTTATGACAAAAGTCCCTTATGACCCTACATGTGGATTATATCAACCCAAACAACATTAGTTGTGTCAGTGCGATTTCGTATAATAATGGTGGTAACTAGGTGATTTTGCTTTTTTCTATGTGATTAATCTCAAACTTCCCTATGCATGTTTGAAATGTAGGATGTTTAAGTTACTTTATTGTAGTTGATTTGTGGGTTGAGAACTGTCGATGCATTTGCACTAAGCTGGCTCCATGAATTTTTTAAGAAAAAACCCTTTTGTTTTCTGAGAATTAACTATATAAAATTGTAGTTTAGTTACATAATCTTCTCAAGACAATGGTCTCTGATTGTTTTTCTTGGATCTCTACTTTGACCTAGGTTGGTGCTGATAAAAATCTGCTTGTGAAGGATCATACTCATACTTTTGTAAACAAAGGGGGCGAAATTGGTGGTATGATGTAATTCTTACTTGAAAGACTGACTTGAAACCTTTTGTTTTGGCCATAGCCATACTTGTGGTATATTAATTACATTAATCATTGGTTTTGGTGTTGCATATATAACTTAGTTTCCTGCTGCAGAACTGGATTTTAGGTTTCCAATTGGAGCTCCGTTACATGGAATTCGTGCTTTTTTGTCTACAAATCAGCTCAAGGTAATGTCTACTATTATAGTTTCCTATTAAACTGAATCTTGAATGTTATTCCAATTTATTTGTGTAGAGCCCATCCATGCAAGAACCCCATGTTTAGTGTTGGACAAGCCATGTTTTTCATGCAGTTCATAATAACATATTGAAGAACAAATCTGAAGAAGAGGGGATATTGGAAATTGTTTGCATTAAAAGCTGTGCCCATTGATGACTTTGCGTTATTAACTTTGAGTCACCCTAAGTCATATTTTATTTTCTTTCTTAATTTAATAAGCTTCTGTTCAGTTGTGTATATATGCTTTTAATATTTTAGGATTCAGGAGTAGAAGTTGCTAATGGGTCATGATTTGTGTCAAATTGTCATAATGCATCTTTTGTTTGTGACCACAAGCTATTAACTTGAGTATGTCTCTTGCCATCTCAAAAGGGAGGTGTGTACGGTTTATGTTCTGTTTGGGGCGTGGGTGTGTGCCTTTACTTATTTAAAGGTGGGGAGGAAGAAAGGAAAAGTTTATAGGTTAATATGGGTTTTAATGAAAAGAGTCTTTTAAGTTTTTAAATAATAGTAGATGGTTAAGATTTACTAATTGAATTAGCTTGCAATTCCAACATTTTGTGCTTTTTTTTCCCCCACAATTTATGGTGCGATGCCTAGACTTTCCCCCCCTTCTCTTTGTTTTCTTTGGTTATTGTATAGTTACTTTTTCTCGTGTTGTAGGTAAATAAGAAAATCTTTTTTTTCCCCTCTCATTCTGCAAGTCCTCTAATATTTTGTAGTTTTTTTAACCTTAATTTTATTGGTGACAATGTTTTTGCTGGTGAAGAATATGAATTGAATTGATTCGTATTTCATAATGAGTAATGGAACTTTACGAACCTTGACTCCCTTGGCGTCTGTTGGCAGAATTTCATTTAAATATTTTTATTAAACTTACCATTCTTATTTAGCATAGCTGATCCACCCCAAACTCCTTTCCTTCCCCGTTCCAGAAATAGGTGCTTATGGTTTGACAGCTGTAAAGCTTTCTTCTCAAATATCTTCTGTAAAATAATTATTGCTTTTTCTTTTTTAATTATTTTTCTTGGAGGTGCGGGAGTGACAGCTTATCTATTATTGTTTTTCCTTGAATACATTGAATTTGGCACAATAGAGGAAATTGATTCCTTTTTCCTTAGGTTTTTGTAAGTGCCCAGTTTGCTCGGATTTGCTTAAGAAGTATGTAGATTACAATAGATTGATGTGGTTTGTTTTTTGCACTTGAATCGTGTCATTTTAAGCCTACTATAGTAATGCTTATACTAATTCTCTCTTTTTATGTCTCTCTGATTTCTTTTGGTCTCTTATTAGGCTTTTCGAGTAAGTGAATGCATTAGGAGGGACCATTTCAGAACCTTCAATTTCTTGAAATCCTAGTTTTCTCATATTGAAACATTTTTGTTGTCATCTTCTTCTTTTCTGCTTTCCATCATACATTTTTTTTGAAAAGTATTGCATTAACCATGCACATTTCATTTTACTAGAATCTCACAAGGAAAAGGGGCAAACTGAAATGAGGGGTAAATTCAATGAATAAGAAAGAAGAAATGGTAAAAGATGATGTCAATGCAACAATTTCATTGCTGTCGTTGTCAACCCAAAATAAATTTGTAACCAACTCGTATTGGTGCCGGCAATCAGAGGCAATAATCACTGGGGGACTACCATCTTCACCATGATCATCACCAAGACTGCAGTAGTATTGACATCATCTTTGCCTACTTGAATCCCACTGAACATCATGTCCATTTTTGTTGGAAACAAATATATCACAATAACCCTTATTCATACTGTTGCCTTTGTCAGCAATGACCACCACGATCTGATGTCAGAAATGACCATTTTATTTGTTTTCTTCTTGTTGCCAAATTATTGAATAATGTGAACTTGATAATGATTAGGAGTTTTGTATTGTAATATCATCATATTGTTGTCTGACTACAGAGAATTTGAAACCTCTGTACATATTGCAAAGATAATGCATATGCCTTCCATATCATAAATCATTGAAATGGACTTTATCTGAATATTAGTAGAGAATCTGAAATTAGTTTGCCTTGTGTAAATTATTGCCATTGTTGTAAGTGAATGATTTGTAACTTGGACAGCATTTTTTTTCACTGAGTGTAGAATGCATTGGATCTACTGCTACTGATTGTTTTAGCATAGTTAGAAATCGAAGGATTTTATTTTATTTTATTTTTTACCGGATGATAGTAAAAGCTTTATGTTTTGGCCAGTACTTGCGCTTGCATATCTATTAACATTCACACGCACACACAAACGCATACACAGATTGCTACCAGATCAATAAAAAGCTAATGGACTTTGTTTTAAACTTGTCATTGATCAATACAAATTGCTACCAGATCCTCCTTTTTGCTGGTGGCTGATGGCTGTTGCTTGTTGGTTTGTTGCATCTGCTGCTGTTGGTTTGCTGTTGTTGCCGCCCTCATGGCTGATGCTTGCTGGGCTGCTGCTGTTGCAATGTTGCTGTGAGGCAGCTGCTACTAGATGTTGGTCTGCTGGATAAGTTTGTGGGTGATTTTCATGCTGTTTTGCCTGTCTTTGTTAGTTTCATGTTTTCATTTTGTTATCTGTTGTCTTTAATGTGGGTTCACAATTTGGATGTATTTGGGTATTTTAGTGACTTTACCCTTTTAGGTTTTATACATTGCTTCTAAAAGCAGTATCAATAGTGTTTTTTTTGCTTGCACATCAACTTTAGCTGATTTCATATCAATGTTATTAGTTTGTAATAGTGGTGCCTGAGGGATGCCTCTTGTAAATCTGTAAATCTTATAAAAATATATAAATTATTTTAAATTATTTTCGTTAGTAAATGTGTCGCCAAAAGTTTATTTTTGCCCACTCATATTGTGTTGCTAGAAGTGTATTTTTTGCCAATGTCAATTTGTCGTTGCCAAAAGTAAACCTTTATCGACAAACAAATCGTTGGCAAATGGCAATATTTGCTGACGTAAATGTGTTGCCAAAAATTTACTTTTGCCCACTCATATTGTGTTGCTAAAAGTGTATTTTTTGCCAATGCTAATTTGTCGTTGCCAAAAGTGAAGTTTTATCGATAAACAAATCGTAAGCAAATGACAATATTTACCAACGTAAATGTGTCGCCAAAAGTTTATTTTTGCCGACGCATATTTTGTTGCTAAAAGTATATTTTTTGCCCATGCAAATTTGTGTCGCAAAAAGTGCCACACAATCATCATATTTGAATGACTTTTACCAACGCAAGGTAAATTGCCGACGATGGATGAAGGCTTTTATCGACGACTATGTTCGTCGCTAAAGGCATTACTTTTACCAACGCAATGATAATTTCGTCGGCAAAAACTTTTGCCGACACACTTTTGCCTACGGGTTGCCAACGTAGCTTTGTGTGTCGGAAAAACTCTTTGCCGACGAATTTTTCCTTTTAGCAACATATTTTGTTGCGTTGCGAAAAATGCAATTTCTTGTAGTGTGTAGAATTTCAGCGTAATTGATCCAAAAATTATATAACATGCTAATTCCACATTCAGTCCTTTGTATGGTCTTGACAAGACCCTGCAAGGAATCTCATTCCTTTCTCCACTTCTAAAAGAAGCCTTTTTACCTCTAAACCGAGGTGATTCATGCTTTAAACCAAGCATCAGACTTTATGGATCCATATACACTTCTACACCGAAGCATAATACACTTCTAAGTTGAAGTATCAATCTTTATACCTCAAAATTTAAATATAACTGTAACAGTTCATAGAAGATGAATACATACATAACAATTTCCATTTATGTGTACACACATAACTATAAACAAAATGTGAATAAACACATTAAACTTTATTAACTGAAATATACCATAGATAATATTCATGGGTAAAAAAAATTTCTTTAACCAAGCACATAACAAACTGTAAAGTACCCATATGCTCAATATATTTAGCAAACTAAAATTTGGCCTAAGCCCTATATTTAGAGGGTCAACTAGTATGTATTCTATAACATGTGCTCATAAAGAATATCATCTTTAACAACTCTGTAATTCTGAAATACTTTAAAATTATGTATTTAATACCATCAGAGTTTTTGTTATTCTTCATAGAGAAAATTAAAACCATATATCATAATACATCTTTATAGGTTTGGAGATGAAATTAACAATTCCAAACTCTGAAATAAAATTCTTTAATTACATAACTCAAGTTGAACTCTAAAACATGTTTGTATAGTGAAAAATTATAAGAGATTTTATGGTACTCTTTTATGAAACAAGATCTCATGCAAACATAAAAAATATAACTAGTAACAGACACTATATATCATCTGAGCAACTTCCAAAGTTGACATTATACAACCAATAATATTAACATGATTAATTCTTCTATAGCCAATTGTATCAAGATATTTTATATCAAAAATTTATTAACAACAATATCTTCACATCAAGTATTAATTCGAAATTATTATTAATAAGTAAAATTCCATCGGTATAAAGGATCAAGTAAAAATAAATTACTCCCACTGACCTTGAGATACATGCATAAATTAACAGTATTATCCATAAAGCCAAGTAATAATATTTGGTGAATCTTTAAATATCATTACTCATAAGTTCGTTTAAAACCATAGATAAATTTGTTTAACTTGCAAATCAAATTTATTTTGTTTGGCAAAGCAAAAGATAAAAATGTCACAATACCACTATAATCATTATAAACATATATTTATGACATTGGTAAGAACAATACTCTTTTCAAATCACAACCTCCTGCAATAGCATTGTATTTATTTATTTATCTTTAAAAAAAAATACTCATTAGATTTCAAATTTTAAAAATGTATAACATGATCTCATATCTAATTAATAATTTGTACCAATTCATTTACCATATTACAAATCGCCAATATCTTCATCACACAATCATCTCTTCAATCTCTTGATATTGCTCATTG